CTTTAAGCCTTTAGGGATCATTAGGGTAGGCTTCGCAGAAGGACTCAGTGGAGAAAGGATCATAGACCCTTTGTTGTTCCCGGCAGAGCAGGGAACCTCATCACCTCTTAGGTTTTGTAGCCTGTTTTTTATTAAATCTAATCTTTCTAAAATCATTTGTTGGTCTGGAGTGGGTACGGTTCCAAAAGAACAAAGAAGATCTTCAATTGAGTTTTCCAAAATGTTGTAGAGTGTGCTGTTCTGAGGCTGAGTCCACTGTTCACCGATGGGTTCTAAGGGCCGTTGGAATTATTTCACTGGCATTTCATTGTATCTGAACTGGACTTTGGGGGTTTGTTAACCTGTTTGGGGTTTGGCATGTTATGTGAATCCTGCTTGTAGGGAAATGTAGATACGGGTTTTTAAAAAGCCAGCCCTTCATTCTCAGAAAAAGACACGGAAAATGCTCCAAGATCCATTTATTGGGCATTCCAAGTGCTTGACGGAAGTCAATCCCCTATTTTGCAACACACAGAGAGAAACACACAAATAACCACTTGTTATCATCCTCTTGCAGCTTAGTAGTATGCAACCCTCAAGAGGTAAGATTCAGGTATGCCAATCAGGTGCCCGGCCTTCAGTTCCTATCTGCTCAATGCCATCCCAGTCCTCTACCAGCTCAGAAAAATGGTGCCCTCCATGGGGATGAGTGTTGTTCACTGGTGAAATTCATCACGTTTTAATTCTTGGAATTTCTTTTCTTGTCCATCTCAGACACACAACCTGGAAGCCTTTTGTAGGTCCTTGTGTACAGACAAAATCCTCTCTTGGGAAAAGAGGGCTGAATGGCCGCTGTGGTCATTCCTGCAGCTAGAGGAACAGTCCTATGAATGAAAAGGCATTTGGAGAGCAACAAGATTCCTCAGACGCCTTTGGAGTTCCGTGATTGCACAGAGAAAGAATGGAGACACAACCCTTAGCAACTGAGGGAACTGGAGAAGGCCCTTCTGCTGTTCAGCCTGGGAGCTGTGGGGATATCTGGGCAAGACCAGGGCAGAAAATCCTGGAGGAGGAAGCCATCCGTCCAGACGTTCAGCCCCAGAACTTTAGGAACATCCAATACCAGGAGGCTGAGGGTTCCCGAGGACTTTGCAGCCGTCTCCACTACTTTTGTTGTCGATGGTTGAGACCAGAAAAGCACACAAAGGCTCAGGTGGTGGACCTGGTTGTTCTGGAGCAGTTCCAGGCCCTTCTGCCCCTGCAGATGGCGAGCTGGGTGCGGGAGTGTGGAGCAGAGACCAGCTCCCAGGCAGTGGCCCTGGTGGAAGGCTTCCTCCTGAGTCAGGCGAAGGAGCAGAAGGAGCAGGTCAAGTTGCAGGTGGGAGACCTTCATTTTGGGAGCCCAGAAGGGGTCTGAAGGGAAAAAACCATGCATTTGAATTCTTAAGCCCTCCTCATGAGAGTTCTTTGCCATTCCTAATATGTGGAGATGTTTCACTAATTCTTGTGGGACATTGTTGCATTATCCATTCAAGAAGATAGATTTGGGACAGCCGTTCCTTTCTCACTTTCCAGCCTTGCTTATGGACACTGGAGGCTTTAAATGTGTGTTCAGAGA